CTTCAAACTTTCTGCAATACAGAACGATCATCCATGACGTTCTCATTCTTTAACAAAGTGCGGAGAGACAGTCAAGACTAATATCGGATTGAATTAAATGTAATAAGAAATTCTCAGCCCAGGCTGCGAACTACTAGCAAGCAGTGTATATAAAATACAATCCAGCGTAGAAGTTTATCATACAGGAAAATCAAAGGGATCCAGAGCTATGCGAGAAAGTTCAACGCGAGTGTATATTTCCAAGCTTACTGTCAGTTGAATGAATTGGAACGTGGAAGTATAGGAGGGTCTCCTGCTGCAGGGTTGTCAAGATGAACCTGTGCAAAGTCATTGATGATTCCAGTCCTTTCCCTGTAAATGACCTCCTTTTTCTCCTCCTCAGCCTTTTCAACCTTCTCTTTGGTCATCGTGCTAACATCCTCAGTTGCCTTTGTGACTGCACCAAATGCACTTGAAACCCATGTAACTCCTGTTAATATGTAACGGTTGCTTATGATGGCAGATCCTGCACTGCTTGCCGTCTGCTCAGCAACTGCAAAGGCAGTTTTTGTCTTCTCCGAAACTTGGAATTGCTCGTCAACCTCTTTCAACTTTTCATTGACCATAGCTGTTCCCATGCTTAGCTTTTCACTCAGACCCATCTTACTATCAATGGATGCAACTGTGGCAGATGCATTTGATGTCAAATGATGCTGTTCATCAAGGGCCTTTGCCTTGTTGACGGCATCCTTTCCCAAGACAAAGCCCTTCGCAAGCATGGTACTTACCACATCTCCAGCCTTCTTAACAGAAGCATCAGTAGCAGGTGGGTTCTTTTCCTTCAAAAAAAACAAAATATGAGGAATACAAAACATAGTGACAAAAACCTAGTAGAAATAAATAGAGGTAGAAGATTCACATTTATACTAGTGCACTATGTCAAAGAAACATAGTGACAATATCATATTTGCTTTTTTATTTCACTAAAAGTTATGTAGGATGAGATATTAACTTTGAATCTTTTTACTCAGAAAGTAAATTCTAAGGCAAGAGCTAATGGTATACCTCCCTCCCTAACTTTTCAACATAGGAAAGCAATAATTTTCAGAAGCCTCATTTAAATATCAGAAAACATGTATAATTTCCTGTTCACTTTCAGAATTCTATTTCATTTTTATGAGGAGTACAAGGTGAATCTGATTTTCTTTCCTAAAGTAAAATCAGAGCCCAGGAATCAGAGACAGCCTGATTTTACTTCACTTGTGCCAAGTGTATTTTCAGACTGAATGGGTGCTGCTGATGCAGAATGTGCTAAGATACAGATTCATGCAGCCATGAATTTACCGAGTTTGGTGGAAGAGCTTCTGGAGGCAGCAGATAATCCTCAACAGGGGTAATTGTAACAGGAAGACCGGAGATGGTGGATCCCTTTGATAAAACATAAGAAAGTTCCTTAAAGAAAGAAAAAAAAGAAAAAAAAAGAAGAGGTAATCCAAAAGAGCAGCTTCTTAAATCAAATGTTCTAGATATCATCTTAGGCTTGCACATTTAATCTTGCCTTGAGTTTTGACTTCAAGGGCTATACCTAATAGCATGTGGTCTAGATCCAAGTAATGCATTACTAACAAGTAATCACAGATATTCGGTACCAAAGCTTTTCAGAGATTTAATGCTTTTCTTCATCTTAGTAATTTTGCAGTTATCTCATTTTCAAATTATTGTTTATATAACTCAAAAATGTACTCTGGCTAATGCCTAACGCAACATTCTGCTTAGGGATGGAAAGAACTCAGAGGTTTCAAATGCAAAGATTAAAACCTTAGACCTACTGGATAAACATACCGACAAGAGTATTGCTGTATCCGCTCCCCGTGGTTCCTTGAAGGTTACATAAGCAAGCTGAGTTGTTTCACTCTCCCTGCAAAAGATACCACCATGTTCTTCAGAATATGACTTTTGCAAGTCAATAAATTGTTCTATGGTACAAGTGTGCTGACCTTTGCATTTCAACACACTGAATATCTCCAGAGAAAATGAAGAATTCTTTGATATCCCTCTCGGAAGCAGTTGTTGAAACATTGTTAGCCTTAATTGTTCTTATCTGTAAGAAATTAAACAGTTGATAAATGTAAAAACAATAAAAAAACAAAATTCATTCATAGAATATTAGACACATTAGAGAAACAGATTTCAGTATTGTCCATTTGTAAAACTAATATGAGGAAAAAACAATGCACTTTGTACCAAAACTCTAATCTTGTACTAGACAAATCATTAGAATTTGAACTGACAAAGAGGAGATTAGTACATAGTAAATTGTCACTGATATAAGAATTCTCTTTTGTGTACCTTACAGATTGGCTGCTGTGACTACCATATTTAAGTTATTGTTGTTGAGATAGAGATAAAATGCAAAGACTATTTAAATGTGGTAGTCTTCAAGGAAATAATATCGATAAAAAAGTAAAAAGCGAATATTTAGAAAACAAAGCTCTATTATTAATAGCACCAACAGATGCTATTTCTATGTAGTAGTTTCCACACATCTGAGACATTGATTGTCCAGTTTGGTATGATAGTTGCCTGAGGAACTGCTGTGAGACTTTGCTCAGTATGGTCCACTGGGACCTGTGAAATGCTCAAACAGGTCCTCAGGGTAAACAGTAAAACATGTGTCCATCATCCTCTAAGGCATGTATATCACCCACCAAAGCAGCGCACAGAAAGTGCATATACTGTATATCTAAACCTTCATTAGATGAAGCATGTTGCACCAACCATTTCAGGTACTCTTTTTTGTTTCCCACTTTGCTTCAATGCAATCCAATTGGCGAATGTGCTATGTATTTCGTATAAAGAGTTTTGAGCAGCAGTTATAGGAATTAAGAGACAGTTTCTTTCCAACTCCATGGCAATATAAAGAGTGATCGATGAGAAAGGATTACAAGCAGGATGTCAAGCCTTTGAAAGTTCCTTTTTCAACCACAAATGTATAGTTGTGAGTAACAGAATTATAATGATCAAATAACCTCATTGAAATATATCTTCTTTAAAAGTATAGCAAATTATTCTCTGAAAACATTCTCCTAACTTATTTAACAAAGTATGAATCTCAAGTCTAAGTTGTTCTCTAATCCTTAACTTGTAAGCTAGAAGGTGCTTCGTCCAATAATGGTCGAACTATAATAATCATAAAATCATCAATTTAGCATCAAAAGGGGCAAATTAACTAGTAAGTTTAGGTATTTACTCTTTCAAAATAAGACCCGTCATTTCTTAATGTGGAGATTTTTCTTGCTCTCCTAGACATTCATTAAAATTGAAGCTAAAACAATTTCTGAATACCCTTAAACACTAAAAAGAAACAAGAAAACCGAATGTCTCCCGATTCTCTTTCATCTTGCCACTCTATAATGTAAAATTCCCCTTATTTTTATTTTACATTAACAGCTCAAAACTTGCATAATTCCATTATTATTATTTTTTTGTTGTTGTTAACCACCAATGCATAAATGAAGAATTTTTTATTATTATTATAATTCCTTCATTTTCTCCTCCTAGTAACCAGAAAAAACACATTGGCACCCACAAAACGACAATGCACAGATGTCTAAAAGATTTTGTATTACTGAATATTCTCAAGTTCTCACATTATGGGCTTCAATCAAACCCATGAAACGGCAATGCAGATAGTTTAGAACTAGGTTGAGCCCAGCCCAAACATTCCTATGTCCAATAATAAAACCCTAGGCAAAAAGATTCCTAGGGTTTTGTTATGCATCTTATACTATAAAATCGATATACTGCTTCAGATCTGAACCAAGTAACCAACGCCATCAACTTTCAAACTCAGGTATGCTTCCTTCTTCTATTTGTTTCTTCGTCGTTTTGTTCCCAGATTTTGTTGTGTCNTCGCTCTTTATTTTAACAGAAAAATAACTATTTAATAAGGTTTCTCTTAAAATAACTTTTAGATTGACAAGGAAAAAAATATTTAAAAAGCTTAAATTTTTTTTAATAAAATATATAATAATTTTAACATTTAAAAGTTTTCTAAAAAATGAATTATTAGTGCAATTTTCTCTCCGAGGAAATTTTTACCTATATCTAAAATAACAATTCAAGAAATGATTTTTATCATGTAACTAACAAGGTGAATTAGATATTGAAGTTTTAAGGAAGAACTAATGACAATGATAAATCACAATTGAAAAGGTAATAACGTGGTTTGTAAAATAACTACTTCTAACTTTCCATTTATCAACCATTAAACTGTTTCAAATAAAAAATTGAAAATCTAAATCAGTATTTTCAATAAAAAATTTAAATTGATATAATATGAACTATATACATACATACACAAATGTACATATATATATATACACATAGTTGTTAGTTGTTCCTTATTAATTACATTTATCATTAAAAGCAACTTGTCCCTGTAATAAATTTACACAATTAGTCTATATATATATATATATATCATTAAAAGCAACCTGTCCGTGTAATAAATTCACACAATTAGTCTATATATAATCTAAAGTTTGATATTTAATGTTAAAAATTAGATAAAATTAAGGAGTTGGTTGATCTTTTCCTATGTATGAGAATGAGACAAATGCTTCATTATAATATTATCTCAAAATTGATCTTGAACAATTTATAACTATATCTGTTTCAAAATTTTTTGGGTCTACACATAAAGAAGTTTGTCTCATTAACATAGAAATTTCAACCACCATCTGCTAAACATATTATTTTATTTCAAAAACAATAAAGTAAAACCCTAAATTAGCCTTAAACTTTGAAAATTTTCATTTAATATGTGGTAAAAATAGTAATTTATTCTTGTTTTAAGATAATATAAAAAAAATTAAACTTCTTGTCATTTTCCATTCAATTGACCTTATCTTCAAACCGGCAAAATTCTTAAACCTCTCAAAGTTTAGTTGACTTTAAAATGCAGAAAAACACATACCTCAAATCGCAGATGCTGCAGTTCAGCCGAATTTTCAGCTGAAATGAGCAACAACAGAAGCAGCATGAGTCCAGAATTTTACACCATGAATGGAGGAGATGGCCCTTATAGCTACTCCAACAATTCCCACGCTCAGGTCAATTAATTCTCTTTCACTCCATATATACTCAATTTAATCAAGTCGAGTCTTTTTTCTTAATTGTTTTATGTTAAACTGTTTTGTAGAGAATACTCATAGAGGTTGCCAAACCAATAATTGATGAAGCAATTGCCCACGAACTCGATTTAAGAAACTTTTCTTTGTCATCAAATCCATTTTCTATTGTAGATTTGGGGTGCTCAACTGGACCAAACACATTCATTGCCGTCAAAAATATTCTAGACTCTATCAAGCAAAAACACCAATCCCTTGGCCACACTTCTCAAATTTCTGAATTCTTAATTTACTTTAATGATCATACATCAAATGATTTCAATACCCTCTTCGCTTCTCTCCCTCTGGATCGGCAGTACTTTGCGGCGGCCGCGCCGGGGTCTTTCCACGGCCGGTTATTCCCCGAATCTTCTGTTCATTTTTTTCATTCATCTAATGCGATTCACTGGTTGTCTAAGGCTCCTGAGGAGTTGGTGGACAGGAAATCTTTGGCCTGGAACAAAGGGAGGGTTCATTATACTAATGCTGCAGAGGAAGTTTGTGACGCATATGCGGCTCAGTTTCGGAAGGACATGGAGAATTTTTTGGATGCAAGAGGAAAAGAGATTGTTGTTGGAGGATTGATGGTGTTAACCGTGAGTGCTATTCCAAATGGGATGTGCCTCTCTCATCAAAATCCAATAGGTCTCATGTATGATCTTCTTGGGGCCTCCCTCATGGACTTGGTAAAGAAAGTAAGTTTGCTTCTATCCCAAATAATTACTCGAAATTTCTTTTCCAGATCATGTGTATACATCACTTAATTATTTATTAGATTAGTAACATTAGTTCATTAATTACTATGTTAAACTAACCACAGGGAGTAATCAATGAAGAACAAGTTGAGTCCTTCAACATACCTATATATGTTGTAAATCCTGAGAACTTGAGAGAAGCAGTGGAAAGAAATGGGAGTTTCAGGATGGTGAAAATGGAGATGATAGAGTCGATATTAAAGATAAATTATGGTGATGAAATCACAAATGTGAATTGGTGGACAAGAATGTTAAGATCAGGGAATGAAGATATCATCACCAAGCATTTTGGGAGTGGAATTATGGATCAACTTTGTCAACAGTTCACGGTCAATGCTTTAGAGGTTACTCACAATTTTAATTGGGATGAGCTTAAAGGATATCAATTACTTGTCATTTTGAAGCGTTATAAATAATAATAATAATAATAATATTTGCATTAATTGGAAGATGAACGTATCATATGTTAAATTTATTGATGCTTATTACATAGAATATGGTAAATGCCAATAACAATTGTTGCTTAGAAGAAAAAAATTGACTTTAGAATTATTTCATCTCAATGTGCTTTGGTCAAAGTCCACTACAAATTATGTAGGCTAAGACAAGCTACAAATCCAAATCGAATTGAGCTTAAAAAGTTGGGCAATTTTTTTTTTTTTATATTTTATTATTGAGTGGATCTATTGTTTTGTATAAAGCAAGTATGGAAGCTGTGAAGGTAATAATTGATGAAGCGATTGCAAAGGAGCTGGATTTAAGAAATCTTCCTTTGTCCTCAAATACATTTTCTATAGTAGATTTAGGGTGTTCAATTGGACCAAACACATTCATCGCCGTCCAAAATATACTAGAAGCTATCAAACAAATATACCAATCCCTCAGCCTTGATTATCAGATTCCTGAATTCTCAATATTCTTTAACGATCAGACATCAAATGATTTCAATGCCCTCTTCGCTTCTGTCCCTCCGAATCGGCAGTACTTTGCAGCGGCCACGCCGGGTTCTTTCCAAGGCCGGTTATTCCCTGAATTTGCTGTTCATTTTTTTCATTCATCTAATGCAATTCACTGGCTTTCCAAGGTTCCCGAGGAGTTGATGGACAGGGAATCTTTGGCTTGGAACAAAGAAAGGGTTCATTACACTAATGCTAGACAGCAAGTTTATGATGCATATGCATCCCGATCATTAAATTAATTACTCGACAGTTTTACAAAACACGGTTAGCAAGTACATTACTACACACTCTCTGCAGTGACGATTTTTCGGGACTACTATCAGGTCTAGTCACTTTGTGACACGTCATTGCATACAGACGAACGTGCTTCTAGTTTGTGAGCTAGTTCTGCGTTTCTCTTGCCGGCTAAAAGATTAAGGCGAAAAAATGGCGTGGTTGTCATCTGAGGGTGTTTTCGTTATCTTAAATTTTCACTTTTACTTGTGGCATGGAGTTTGTTGCGTCACTAGGTCTTTTTAGTGTCTACCACTAACTGAATAGAATGTTGACCGCACCCATGGCATCTAAAGTTTGTTAAGCCTGTCGGCCAAGGCTGAGGATTTTATGATTGTTTACTAAGCAACAACAACGTCAATTGTAAAATTAACTATCAGCGTATATCAAACAATTCAAAACAATTTTATTTATCTTAAAAAACGAGTTTACAAGTAATTGAAAAATATCATATCAGAAATCTGCTTCATTTCTTTATTACAATCACATGATGATATGAATGTGTTGCTTTATGCGCAATGCAGTGCCAAGGAGTTTCAGCAGGAAACATTTTTCTTGGAGTTAGCCTTTTAGATCGGTTTTTAGCAGGGGTTTCTTCCAAGCCAAAAGGAACCTTCAAATTGTTGGAATAGCCTGTCTTGTACTGGCCACCAGACTTGAAGAAAATCAGCCCTACATAGGTAATCATCATTTTCTGTTATTGCATAAAGGCTAGAGGCTGTAAGTGTTTATATAGGCACAGTGTTATTAGTTTTGTGGTTACTGCCTTCTTAAACTATCAGATGTGGATTCAGATAGGTTTCTTTTTCGAATTTTGATTATGCCGCACGAAATGTTTCTCTGTTATATTGAATGGGTCAACAGTATTTTCAGCTTTATATATTCCCTCCCTCATGGTACTCCGGTTTTTTCGCTTTCTCCAGTAGTTTTATTGGGTTGAAACTTGATTTGCATACTCAAAAAGGTTAGTAGTACCACATCGTAAAATGTCTCATATTTTATAATCTTGAATAGTTGAATATGCAATTGGTGTTAGGTAGGTGCAAAAGAACTGGATAAAAACTCAAAATTAACAATTATTCCTATTTTCTGCCCGAAATATCTTCCTATCCATTCAAGATTCTCAGCTCATTATTGTGTGAAATCATATCAAAATAATCGCTCTAATTAAAATCATAGGCATCAGTGGCTTCCAAAACTATAATGATCTCGCTTGCTGAAAGATTTGTCCTTTAGGATGTGACTTAATTAATATTTATTTTTATCTTCATTTCAGTGTGCGACAAAATACTTTCAGCGTAGAGAGCAACATTTACAGCAGAAATGAAGTGGTCGCCATGGAATGGCTGGTGCAGGAGGTCCTCAACTTTCATGTTTTCTTGCCTACCATTTACAACTTTCGGTGGTATGAGTATCTGTTTCTTCTCCCCATTATATGATAGGACAACTGAGGCCTGACTGCTGAGTTTAACATTGAAAACCTTCGGACTTGTTCTGATTCCCTTGTTTTGGTCCATACACGCCATAAATTGAAATGTTTCATATAAATCCATATCGTTTCCCTAAATATAATACGAATTTGTCAAAAGGTTCTACCTGAAAGCTGCCGGGGCTGATGCAGAGCTGGAAGATGGCCAAGTACCTGGCAGTTCTAGCTCTATCAGACCATGAGCACTGTCCTATTGGCCATCACAGTTGCAGCTGACTGTATCCTGGCTTCTCTAGAAAGCAGGGGAGAGTCATCTACCAAAAGTCATCGAGGTTAAATACTTACAGAACGAACATCAGTCAATTCAAATGAATTTCGTGTCCCTAACCTGCCTCATAAAGTGTGAGCTCTTGGATATCACAATTGAAATCTGACCATTTTGTCGACAAATGATCAAAATGGCGACCTGATATTCCACCATTGTTTGGACTTGATCTTTATTGTAATTGACAGATCAATTTGGCCTAGATAGACTTACAGGGTCATCCGGAGTTAAATAAGGTCTTGAGTTCTGACTAGTCAATTCCATTTTGCAGATTCATGTCAGAACAAAAGATAGTGATTTACCTGATTGCATAAAGGTATCAAATTCATGTCATTGCATAATACAATTCTGAATAGTATTTCAAGTTAAGCAGTCACTTACATTGTGTTAATTCTAACAGAGCTTGGAGTGGTTGTTACAGTATGTAAGCTAGCTTACACCAGGAAAGTGACATGAACATCAAGTTCTCTGTTTGCTGACATTGTTCTTTTCACTCACACAAAGACAATATAATTAAAGGTAAAGTAAATAAAAAATCTTTCCAAAACACACTTCCGTCATAAGGTAACACAACTCAATTCTTTCACAATTCAAGAGTAATTGATGCTTCTTTTGTGCCCCTAAAAGTAAAAGAAAGCATTTGATACAAGTTTATGTGCTTGAATACAATTCTATTTCTTTGGCAATGCCCAACATTTGGGTGTCAGCGTTAGATGAAAAGTTATGCGAGAAAAGCAATTATCTTACTTTTCTCTCCAATGTTGTTATTTTTAAGTCGGTAATTGATGCTTTGAATTTGTATGTTCGTGTAAGAATATTGCAGAATTTTGTGAAATTTAATTCCCAAGTTGATTAAAATGGTCCTACGATTGGAAAATTAACACACGGCTAATCTAAATATTATATTTCAAATCATGCCTTGCCGGAGAAATTTACTAATAGAGGCGACACTAGAGGTACATAGTCGTAAAGAAAGTAGACTTTTCAAAAAGAAAAACCATTAGACACCGATGGTTCTAACCATAATAACGCTATCTTCATTGGGTCATGCATTATTTCGAGTGTGGACTCCAACCACACCACACGGCATTTCAATGGAAGCTACTCCATGGACTGGTGAGTAGTCGACACGGCTTTACAGAGGAAAAAAAAAAAAAAACACGAAAGCGACTCCATGAAGGAGTAGTCCACGATTTTCATTTTCTTCGGGTTAAATCTTTTTCATGCGTTTATTTTTACTTTTTACATAAAATCTGACGAAATTCAGAGCAATGAAAAAAAAATTTGCATAGTGTTGATGCAAATACACCAACTAAGCGATTCAATCGACCTTGACGGGATCGAAATTGATGTTGCGTGATTACAGGTAACCAGCAATGAATAAACAATAATGCAGTAAAGAAAATGACAAAAATTTTTTAAAGTGGTTCGACGAGTTAAACTCTTGAGCCTATGTCCACTGTCTTTGTATAAACTGTGAGAGCTTACGATAACAATCCTAGAATAATTTGTTAACCCCTTTCTCATTGTTGGAGGGGGTTTATATACAAATTCTGTACAGAGGCGACGTGCAACAATGGTATGATGTGGTAGTCTGACGGTTGATCGCCCCTCGTGGATGATTGACACTGGCCACGTCCAAGGGTTGAGATCGCTCGACAAATGCAGGGCCGAGATTCACTATAGAAACGGCTGATTAAACCCCACCCTTTTGTCTCCCATGCAAACCACTATAAAGTGGGCGAACTTGTTAGAAAGCTTCACACTTGCAAAGTTCTCAGGCTTTCTTGTTACTCCGTCGCTGCTCCTTCATCTTCACGGTGCTTTCCTATGAGTTCATCTCATCTTTCAGTTTGGTAAGGCTTCTTTTCCTTCTATTTGTTTTATGATTTTCGCGATTGAGGGTGGCCATTGTCGTGGCCACATTGGGATTTTTAGGGCTTTGCTAGGGTTTTTAAGTGTGTCTCCAATGGTCTGTTTTAAGGAGAGTTTTATGTGCGGTCGCGAGAATCTTGGTGGGTCACGCATGTCTGTTGTCTGACGTGAGCTACTTTGGGTGCATGAACTAAAAGCAAGTGTGGATAGGTGGCCTAGTTTTTCAAGCTCTAACACATGTTTGATTATATTTCAAGTATCTAGAGGCGAGCCATCGTCATGTCTTCGTCAAAGAGCCATACCATTGATCGCATGTTCGATTCTCCCGGGCTCAGTAGTTCTTGGGAGCGTAGTCCCTGAGGCTTCTGAGGATATTGTCGCACGGAGTTCAGACCCTGATGTGGTGGGCTCTTCCGACCATGCTTTTGTGGAAGTCGGTCGGTCAAGGAGATCCCCAATCCATAGTCGTGGAAGGAACCACAATCCTCGATTGATGCTGAGGATCTCGCCCATAAATGAGACTTGTGCGCCTCAACTCAACTTGAGGGTTCCAGAAGGCTTCTCTTGAAAGAATACCCCATAGGTTTGTGTTGTGATCTCTAAGTCCCTTTTGAGGTGTGAGATGTCCGTGGCTTTTCGCGGCAAGCTTTTGGCCAATGGTTAGCGATCTTTAGGCATGGCAATGTTCCCCGGATTTCGGGGACCCTCCCACCCAGCCCATATGGGGCGGGAAGCCCCGGTTTTTCGAGGATAGGGGCGGGGGTGGGGGGTGTTTTAATCCCCATCCTCGGGATGGGGCAAGGTGGGTGATGCCTTTCCCCCACCCGTCCCGTATATAATATAAAATTAAAAAATGTATATATATATTTACTTTTCACTAATATCCCTATATTTCACCTAATTACACAATTTCCTACCTATATAAACCCTATTTTCCTAATTTCTCTCACCCTAAACAATTGAACAAGAACAAACCTTGACCCATATTTATGTATAATTAATTATGTTTTAAACGATTAATTTAAGTGTTTGTCATGTGGACGAGAATTAACTATTGTGTTTGGTAATACTCAATTAATTATGTTTTATATAAATTAACGGGGCGAGGATGGACCTCCAACATTCCCCTTTGGGGCAGGGAAGGGGAATTCCTGTCATCCCGTACGGGGATGGGGCGGGTGGGGAATGATTTTGAGGATGGGGATGGGTACGGTGAATGAGATCCCCCCTCGCCCGCCCCATTGCCATGCTTGGCGATCTTTCTACTCGCTATGCTTGCAGCCATCTAGTAAACTTTGTCCGGCTCACATGCTTCACTTTGGAGGCCTGATGTCTAC